TGGGGGTCGGGGTCGGTATTGGGGGGGGCGCAAAAATGCACCTTGCCTACCTTGCCTAGAATCCTAGCACCGGCCCTGGTCAGGGGTGGCACTTGAGGCTCCCTATCTGATTGAACATCCCTACATTAGGGGAAAGTGATAATAAAACATGCTTTCTAAAAATGTTGTAACACTTACTACAAGTTCTTTCATAATACACAAGAAAAGAAATGACCATGGCGCCACAGTTTGGGTGATTTTTATTGTTTTCTTCCATTTCTTTACATACTCTGTTCCTAATTTTTTCACTATCCAATGAAATGCCAAGAATATTAAATATACACCATCCATTATAAAGACTTTGTTTTGTAATATTGTTCTTACATATCTTTTTATCTACAGAACAAATGTTGAATATTTTAGATAGAAAACATTTATTATACAGAGATCGTCTGCAGTGGAAGGACAGGGGCCTTAGTGTGAAGAACAGGAGGTGGAACATTGCAATTCTTTGAACCTGAAGGTGATCTTTTCTCCACAAATGGATATCAGAAATATATGTCTCCTTTATGTCCGTACAACTCCTGCCACCCACTCACGCCAAGTTACATTATATGGCCGAAAACAGTTTGTAGACATCTGACCATCTCACCTACTATGTGGCCAAAAGTATGTGGATCCCCCCTCCAAATGACTGAGTTTAGGTGTTTCCAGGAAAGGGTAATGGTAATACTACAGAATATAAAGAAATTTTAGACAGTTGTGGGCTTCAAAACCTTTTTTGGTGAAGGTCCTTTTCTGTTCCACCAAGATTGTCCCCTGTGTACAAAGCCAGCTCCATAAAGGCATGCTTTAACGAGTTTGGTGTGGGGGAACTCGAGTGTCCTGCACAGAGCCCTAACCTCAACTCTACTGAACATCTTTGGGATGAATTGAGAACCCTCCAAATGATTGAGTTCAGGTGTTCCATTGAAGGGTTCTGTTAATACTACAACATATAAAGACATTGTAGACAATTGTGCTCCTCCAGCCTTGTGGTAACAGTTTGGGGAAGGTCCTTTTGTGTTCCACCATGACTGTCCCCAGTGTACAAAGCCAGCTCCATAAAGACATGCTTTGATGAGTCTGGTGTGGAGGAACTTGAGTGTCCTGCCCAGAGCCCTGACCTCAACTCTACTGAACACCCTTGGTGTGAATTGGAATGTTGATTGCCAGCCAGGTCTTCTCATCCAACATCAGTACCTGACCTTACAAATGGGCAGATATTCCTACAGACAACCTCCAAAATATTTAAGGAAATCAAATCCAGAGGAGTGGGGGCTATTATAGCAGCAGGTGGCAAGGTACTCCATATTAATGTCTGTGTGATGATATCGTCATATGTGTGATGGTCAGGTGACCACAAACCTTTGGCCATATGGTGTATATACAGTAACTCACAAACTATATATAGAAACATAATTTTGTAAAACATTAACATTTTATATCAAACGTACCTCTAAAAAAATTACTGAAAACATTATGTATTCCCTTTCAGCAACTTTTTTTTCTGTAGGACACAATGGTACAAATTGGACATTATTATGAAAGTATACAATTTCTCTGTCCTGATTTACAGCATCATATTTGTCACAAAGGTAACATTACACTTTTAAGGTAAAGTATATAAAAACACAAGAACAAAAATGTATTATATCTCAGCCTAGGCTACACGCCTCTGGTTTTAACAACACATCAGCTCCCCTTCTCCCTATCTCCATAACCTAGGTATGAGATGTTCTGCAGTTCACAGAGATAACCCTGGCAGGGTTGATAAAACTCCTTTGGTTTCTATTGCCTCATGGGTACTGCGTTGTCAGCTTACTAGATGAAGTTATGAGGCTGCTGGATTTCTGACAGGCTCAGCAGGAATTTTTTGCACTTATCGAGCGAAACGCTTCCAATGGTATATTGAACGGACCAAACTGGACTGAAAAAAAGAGAAGTCACTGCTATGGTCACATTCCCTTTAAAGATTAAATAATTCCCTTAGACTTCTCATTGCATGCTCTTTTGTTATTTTTCCCCAACCTGTTGGGATCTGGGCCGGCTTCGAATCATATTCGTCTGCAAGCTGGTCATTAATTTCTTTTAAGACAAACTTCCAGTAATCGGAGGCGTTGATGCCTGGATCACATTGAATGACCCAGTCCGGATAGAACTTCCGGTAACTTCTGTAAGGCTCAGGGACCCAGTTTGTGTTTGAATTTCTAAAGCATCCGTTTCCGACCACATCGGTGGAGCATATGGAGTTACAAAGGACATGGGTTGAGAGGTCTTTGTACCCCACCAGCCCTTGAGGTCGGTGCACCGATGCAAAATGCTGCACGTGGTCATGTCCTCCGGCTTCACAGGGGACTTTACAGAATGGACATAGCTTGCCGCATCCAAAAACTCTCTTAAACAGCTGATCCTGAGGTTTCAGAGTGACCATGGAAAGCACATAGTCGATCTCTAGGGAATTCATCTCTTGTAAAATCTCATCCACCAGTTTAGTGAAAAAAGATTGTATGCATTCAGAAAAATTTTGGGCCTTGTGCTTGTTCTGGAATAATATCACGTTCATTGTATTCCTTGAAATGACCAATTCTTTTTGTAAAAGTTCACAAAACTGTTCCAAAAAGGAAGAGACATTTGCGCTTCCTTGTACATTTCGATCCTCCAATGCGTTGTTGACCACGTGTGTGATTCTATTAATAATTTTCTCATGTAAATGTTTAAGGCCGCCAAGTTTTCCAAATTTGCCTTTTATATGTTTTTGGAGTTTGCTCTTCACAAACTCTTCGTATTCCATGATATATAACATGTACTCGTTAAAGTCGTCTTCTTCCAGCAAATTTTTAAGCAGGTTGAACTGGAAAAACATCCGACTACTATATTCCTTGGCGTGCTCGCTGACCAGAATGTCGTCCACAATTTCTCTCCCGAGGTTTTTGTAAATAAAATCTATTATGGCTGGTTTCAGGCAAGAATGGCAAAAGTCCTCTGCCCTCTTTTTACATTGGTCAGTCTCAAGGAATATGTTCTTAAAGGTGGCGAGATACTGAGGTTTTAACTTTTCCAAGCTAAGCCTTGGATCGTTTTCCTGGATGAAGTCCTCGTGCATCTTCTGGAACATTGGAGCCGCCCTCCCCAAAATGTGGAGCTTCAAGTCTAACACAAACTGAGGTGAGATATGGAGTTTCTCGGCAGCACTTTCTTGGAGATCTCTGTTTACTATGTTTAAGAGTTCTTGGCAATAGGTGTCATGGTAATCCTCTTTTGTATTGATTTTGGTAATGACGTACATTTTATATTTGTGCAGCAATGTATTGACATACTTGTTCATTTGAACCAGTCGATTGTCAGGATAGTTAACTGAGACTGTCCTAGAGGCTGTGTTGTACCAACCACTATCAAAGTGATGTGGCTGGGCCGCAAAGCACCTGTTCTTATAGTCCTTCAGGTTGTCTATACCGTTTAACTTCATAGTGACGCCTCCAATGCTGTGCTGCATGTCTTTTCTAAGTAGTTGTAGGATTTCTTGACTGATGTTCCGTACATTCAGACTAATCAGGTTTGTTTCCACAAATGTTTCGTTCCATATTTTCTCAAACTCTTCATCGTGATTTAGCCTGTTATTGCGGTTCTTGAGGGTTTGGTATTTCACTGCGGCTTTCTTTTCGATAACTTCCATAAATCTTTTCTGGTGTCTTTGAATCTCAGTCTTCCCTCTCTGAATTTGTACATATTCGTTTAACCTCTGCCTTACACCGTCTTCCAGTTGTTTCTTTAGGGAGCTCACACTCCTGAGAAATTCTTCTCTGTATCTTTCTATCAGATTGACGTTTTCAGATCCGCTTTCAAAATACTTTTCTAAAGCTTCCCGCATGTTCTTCTCTTCTCTCTCAAGTATCTCGTTTGGATCCAAGCTTGGCTCTTTCTGTGGCTCTGGCTGGTTCCTGATTTGGTTTTCTGTCTCCTGCATCCATTTAAACATGACTTTGCTGAAGTCCCACTTCAGTTCATTATACTTAACATGTAGCTGATCGTAGGCATCTGCCACCAGGCTATTTCTGAAATTAAAGATAAAGGTTTCATATTGGACCGCCTCCCACAGGCTTCTTATCCATTCAGAAAACGTTCTCAACATTTGGGGCTTTCTTAAAGATGTCTTCATGACATGTAATAGGTGTGTTTTGAACGTATAAACCTTTTCACTGTAACCTGTACTTACTGAAGACATTGGTGGAACACCATGCCAGAGACCGGGAATGTACCAGCTGTGGTACTCATGATCAACATCCAGAACATCAGAAAAAGAATTGACTCCACTCTTTTTTTCCATCTTTGCTGCAGTTCTTGTCATTTCATCGAGTTCATCCATAAGCTTTCTCATGTCTCTAAAGCAATTTGCGCTAGCAGAGACATCAGCGACATTCTGATGTACGAAGTAGTATTTCGGTTTCTTGCCAATGGTTTCCATCCTTAGGAACGCGTGGACTACAATCTGTAAAATATCTTTCATTTCTGCCGCGTTTTCCATGGAAAGGTTTATGATAGTAATGTCACTCAAGCCAACCACTAGGGTTGCTAACTCATTGTCATGTTGGTAACTTCCGTCCAGAGAAGACAACTCCGAAGCTTTTAAACCTTCTGTGTCGAGTACCAAAATAAAAGAACAGCCTAACTCCTCCTTAAAGTCCTCTTTAACTTTAATGAGAGTCATGAAGGCTCCTCTTGTACATCGCCCACTGGCCACAGGAAACTGCAAACCAAACATGGTGTTCAGAAGGGTGGATTTCCCTGTGCTTTGTACCCCCAGGACGGTTATTACTCTAATTCGGCAGTGGCCTCCTGTCCGCTTATCCAGCTCACTCAAAACATTAGTTATCCACTCTAGTGGTATACTGGAGGCATCTCCATCAATCAGTTCCAGTGGAAACCCATCCAATAAAAGGTCTGCAGCGATTTCTGGGAGCTTGTCAAATTTCCGTTCCTTGTTTTGAATCTCTTTATTTTTCAGAAGATAGCATTCTGCATCATACAACTGACCCAACTCACGTATGAAGTGCTCAACACCCAGAGAGCTTTCGGACATGAGTAGATCTAGCTGTTTGAGGTCCGATGGGGCTAAGCTGTCTTTGGCTTTGTACCGGTGCTGTAATTTTGATAGGTTGGCTCTAGCAATCGAATCGAGAGAAAACTTCACCCATTTCAGAAAATAGCATCTCTCTAAACAACTGAGCTGTGACATTGACTCCTTGAAGGCATCTATGCCTGCCGATGTAGTTTGCCTATACTGCTGCTTTATTAAACCCATCATCTTGTTTTCCTGTTTTTCCCTGTAGTTTTGAGAATTTTCATCCCCCTGCTTTCTCATTCTACATATTTCTTTTCTCGTCCTGGCCAGTTCCTTACAAAGATCCCCTTGCAGTTTCATTGTTTCTTTTTTGTACCCCGCAACATCCCTGATCCTCTGCGTAATTTTCAACGCTCTCTGTTTTGCCGACTTACATTCTTTGGAGTGCTCGTCTAGACGAATCCCAAGCTCGCAAGCGGTGTCTGCCATCCTCTCCAAGGTGACTGGCTTGGTGGGCTTATCAATGAACTCTTTCATGATTTTCTGCAGGTGTTGAACCAAAGCCGCATCGTTCTTATTCTTCTTAAAAATGAAATGCCTGTCATCAATTTTTAACGCCGAGTTTAAACCTTTCAAGTACTGTAGCGTGGAGCCATTTGTTCCCAGGTTTTGGAAAACAAAGAAATATTTGGTTTTGGTATCTCCGAGCTTGGACAACTGCGCATACTCCACCTCGCTAATACTGTCTGCAAATATGAAAACTGCAGACGATATCTGGGTTAGGAGGCAGAACTGCCTCCAGTAAGAGGAGATGTTGCCATGAAGGTTCGTAACGGCGATGGGCTCTGGAAATATGTCAGACTGTCCTTTTCCATTGGGGAAATACCAAGACATCTCAACTAGGCCCTCGGAGAGTTTCTTCGGAATGTATCCACCTTCCATGTCCCGGTGTATGAAGAAGTTATGATGCTGCTGAGGTGGTATTAGAATTTGGTTCAGGATGGCAGCCTTGGATAAGCTGGATTTTTCTAGCCTCACAAAAGAAAAAAACGGCATGGCAATATTCACCACATTGTCTTCCTTGAATCCATTCTTATCTTCTAGGGAGTGGGGTCTCCATTTTTTAACGATGTCCCTCAATGCCCACAACATGAAGGTGCACTCTGAACTAGTGCAAGCCGGGAGTAGAAGTGGCACAGCGAACTGGCACATGGACAGTTTCGTCACAATCTCCTGTTGCAAAAAGCTGTCGGAACAATGCAGGAGGATGCACAGGACATCCAGGAGATGGAGGTCTCCCGAATGGTCTAGGTTATCGGTTTCAGATAACAGATTGGTAAAGTCTATGGTTAGACCTGATTGTGATTGCTCTATGTGTACTTTCCGTGCATTCACGTTCAGCGACATGAGCTGCCTTAGGAAATACCATGGAGTGTCTTCTACAGAACGAAGATCGATGGGTTCCAGACTCTCACGTCCGATTGTCAAAACTTCGCTGACGGTCATCTTTGAACTCTGGTATTTTTCCATCTTTAAGCGGGAGAGTGCCTCATGAAATATTCCATTAATGCCTGAAGGTGCTGAAAAAAAGAGGAAATTATTGTTAATATATGCTTAACCAAAAGTCAGCAATATTTCAGGTCAGCAGATGAGAACTTTTTAATGAACTTCCACCAAGGCTGCCTCAACTGCATAGGGACTGAACTACAGGCAACCTGCCAAAAAGTCGGCCAACCAGAACTCTAGGCAATCAGCTAAATACATACAGTATAAGGGAGCTGCTTGTCCTGCCACAGGATTTGTAGTTCTGTCCATCCAGGACTGAGATGTAAAAAGCTTTGCCACACAACACAGCCCTGCCTGGCAGTGGAGCTGCAGCTCCACTTTTATATACAAGCTCTCCTCCTCACCTCTACTCTTTGTATAGACAGTAAAAGCGCTGCAAAATAGTGAGACCGGAAGGCAGCAGACTGATTAGCTCCTCTATGTTACTCTGCTCTCTACTCTTAGCAGCATGCACTTTGTATTGTAGCATACCTGTATGGCTCCTTGTGCTGCTTCCCCCTCCCTATCTCTGAGTTCTGCTGTATAGGGACTGTAAGAGTCTAATATATGCATATAACAATTAAATTTAATACAGGGGTAGGCAACCTTGGCAGCCCAGCTGTGGTGAATTTACAAATGCTATCATGCTGCTGGGTGTAAGCACCGTGAGCCCAGGCCACGTGATGAAGCAACCTCCAGGGGGTGTAGCCAGTGATGTCACTATAATGAGACCGTCTGAAGTGGTTGCTTCAAGTGGTATCTCACTGGGTCAAACCTGCCGCGCAGAGTGCACCTGGCTCCTAAGAACTCCTAGCAACCTGTTACGTTCTGGCCGGCAACCAGTCCAGCTCGCTGATGTCACTGGTTGCAAGGAGCTGGCCAGGACACCATGTCCTGGCAACCAATTATGTCAGTAGCTGGGTGGGATGCCGGACAGAACATCACAGGTTGCTAAAAGTTCTTAGGAGCCTGGGACACTCTGGAAAGGGGGCGGCAGGTTTGACCCAATGAGATCCCACCTGAAGCAACCGCCTAAGGCCGCCTTATTATAGGGAGGACCCTGGACACACCCTCTGGAGCTTGCGTTATCACGTGACCTGGGCTCAAGGTTCTACTACACTACAAGGAGCTTGCAAGTTATTTTATGAGCCCCATTTAGTGCAAGGACTGCGCAATGCTGATGCTGGACAAGCAAAGGAACGGCCCATCATGTCACCAGCCAGAAGACTGCTGGGTTTAAGGTGTGTCTACTTTTACTGTTCACAAATGTAGGTGCTGCATTTACTATGTGTACATAATAGATATGCATTGGCAGGGGCTTCCTGTGTCGTCATCGCGCGTCATCATGATTGATGCCTGCCGGCGGCCATCGTATTGGTGATGGACGCCGGCAGAGAGAGGAGGGAACGTTCACCCGGCGGGATGAGGTATGCCGCCGGGTCCCCTCCTCTCTACTGACACTGTCATGGACCGAGAGCCCGACTTTTTAGTCATTGTCACTGTCAGTCATTATGATGTCACCTCTGCAATGGTCACACCCCCCTTGTGACGCCACTGTACATTGGCTCAAATTTCCAACCTGTATCACTAGACTCCGCCATCTGCAGCGCTGCCCTGAGTTCATTATAGGCTTCAGTCACATCAGGACGGGGGACGACCTCCGGAATTGGCAGCATTCTGGGCGGCGTCTTTGGCGGCGGCTTCGGTGGTGGTTTTGGCGGCGTCAGTGGGCGAAGGAGGGCTTGCTTCCCACCAGAGCGGATACTTGACTCTAAGTTAAAAAAAAATTACAACGCATGGATGTCATAAATAGTCAATTTATTATGGAAGCACTTTTTTTCATTTGCAGAGAGTGCGGTCATCTGGTCTCACTATTTTGCAGCGCTGGTTTCATTTATTCGGGTCATTGATTTCTTTAACCAAACGCAACCATTCAAGCTCTGATGAAGGGGGAGTGTTCTGAGCCCCCCAAAACGCGTTGGATGTTTTATGCGATCAAATGATGAATCATTAAAAGTTGGTTTGACCCCTTTCACCATTTGATCTGATCTGTAACATCTGTAACAATCAAACACTCTATTGGATAACTCGAACATTTTTATAATCAGATGTTACCAACAAAAATTTTGGGCTGAAGCCCGAAATGTAAATTTTAAAGCAGTCTTTCCTTTTGCTGACCCCCTTCTTTTATTATTGGCATAGTCTACATTTAAAGTAGAACTGAAGTCCAAACACTTTTGATATAGTCAGGAAGGGCTTTTTTTTTTGCCATCTGTGTCCAATTGGGGAGATTTCCCTTCACTTACAGTCAGATAGTCACAACAGGAAGTGAGAGGAAATCCCTCCAAAGTGAAGGAAATCGCTGGTGGTCACCAGGACTAGTGTCCCCTTTGGAAGATTTCCCATCTATTCTTATTCTGGTGACAACCCAAAAATTTGGGATTTTCTTGCACTTTCAGTGATATTGGTCACCAGGACAAAAAGCGAAGGTGAATCTCCCCAGTGGGGCACACATGGCAAAAAGAAGTCAATGGGGGGTTATAATTAGGGATGCACCGATACCGTTTTTTTGGTATCAAGTACGAGTACGGATATTTTGCTTTCGGTACTCGCCGATACCGAGTACCAATACCAGTGCTTCCGCTGGCATGGAGCCGGTTTCCCGGCCGAACAGATGGCTCCTTGTTGATTGGCAAGAAAGCCGGCTTCCCAGCCAATCAGGAAGCCGGGAGGCAGGTCATTACTCGCCGCCGGCTTCCTGAGCCAGCTCCATGTTGTCTGATCGGCTCGATTGTCATTGGCCGGTAAACTGGTTTCCCAGCCAATGGGCATCTAGCCGCCTTCCCGGCTAATCAGGAAACCAGGGGCGAGTAATGACTTGCCTCTTGGCTTCCTGATTGGCTGGGAAGCTGGCTTTCAAGCCAATCAGCAACAAGCCGGCTGTTCAGCCAGCCCGATGCTGATTGGCTGGAAAGCCTGCTTTCCAGCCAATTAGCAGGAAGCCGGGAGGCGGGTTATTACTCGCCACCCGGATCCTTGATTGTCCGGGAAGCCGCCTCCATGTTCCCCTACGGCGCTGCCAGTAAGAGGAAATCTACCTCTGACCAGAAGTTCCGGTATCTGGGAAGGTATTGGAGCATTTGGGTGAGTACGAGTACTCGCCCAAATACTCGGTATCGGAACCTATACTAGTATCGGTATCGGTGCACCCCTAGTATTAACTCTCCCTTACTTTATCCAAAATTCAAATTTAAGTTCTACTTTAACACTTAACTGTTCTCATTTATAGAACCTTCGCTCTGGTTCTGAGCAAAACAGCCCAAAAAAAGTTCACATTGGACCCACTTCTGAATGTCAGATGCCTGCGTCCCCCCAACCATGCTCTGTGGTTCCTCCCGCCAGCACCTAGGGCAGTACAGGAGACAATAGTGATGTAAGAACCAGTGGACGGAACCACAGAGCATGGCAGGGGGTTGCAGGCATCCAGCACAACCGGAATGTAAAGATGCTTCAGGTGGATTTGCTCAACAACCAGTGAAGATTCTAAGAACGGGCGCCGGGAAGTGTAAAGTATCTTCTCTAACAGTAACTTATTTTATTTTTCGGCTACAGAGTCGCCTTAACTTTTTGAGGCTCCAAGGTCTTTACCTGGGAAGAGCCCGGACAAGGCTGGGAAAGTGTCCGCCACATCCCGCAGATGACCGACCAGCTTTTCACAAGCCGCATCCCCGTCCTTCAGAGTAGAAGTCAGGAACCTTTCAAGCTTCTCCTGAGAACTCTTCGCTTGCAAGGCATGGAAGTAGTCTCTGGAGTTCAGCGGACACCGAACTATGAGTTTGCTGAAAAAATTTTCCCCATTTTCCTCTGTAAGTTCTGGGAGTTTTTTCCTGAATTGGCTGATGACCTCGGAGGGGTTTTTGTCCATACTGGAAAGCTGAAAAGATGAAGTAGCATTAAACTCTAAAAACCCTTTTGCAAAAATGAATCCGGATGAAACAAATATACAATCGTCCAGCACGGTATTTGTTTACGTTTTGCCCGAGCACTTACAGTCGCCATGTTTCTAAACAGCTCCAACTCTCTCGGCTCGGCTTCCCTGGATTTCCTGTCCAGTACAAGATCACAAGGGACAGAGCAGACTCCAGGAGCTGTCTATCTAAAAGGAAAGGTGCCACCCTAAAACAGGATATCAGGACCAGTGCTCAGGGGACCAGCTGATTCTGCAGGAAACTAAGGGGGTTATTCACATAGGAGCCGAAGGATCTAGCCGTAGCTTCAGCTGATCCTTCGGCTCACTTCGGCCGCCAGATTTTCTTTTTAATAATAAAGGAATTGTCAAAGTTTTTTGTTGTGTTTTTTTTTCAATTACTCCCCCCCCCCCCCCCCCCCAACGTTGTTTCTTTTTTTTTTTTTTTTTTACAATTCCCCCCCCCCCCCCCCCCAAAGTCTGGTCTCTTTATTTACATTTTATTTAACCCTTTAGTGAATGGGTAGGGGTACAAGTTCCCCCTTATTCATTCACAGGGGGGGGGGGGCGCATCTGGGTGTCCCTTTATTAAAGCAGTACCCCAATGTAAATAAGCCCCCACAACCAACACCCCAGGGCTAATGGGGAAGAGGCCAAAAACACAGTGGGGGGCGCTTGCTCGTATCCCCCCCTTTCCTGCCCTGCCAGGCCTATGCTCAGATCTGGTATGGAATTTCACCCCCATTTTGGGGGGTGGGGTTCCTCGATAACATTCTTACCAGACCTAAAGGGCCTGTTATGACTTTTGGGGGGAACCCCACACTTTTAGTTTTTTTAAAACAGGGGTCCCTCCTATTGTTCCTACCAGACCTAAAGGGTCTGGCATGGATAGGGAGGGGGACCCACGCTGTTTGTTTATTTTTTCATTCTTTCTTTCACATTTTTTTATTGACTTTTTTAAAATTTGTTTTTATTTGTATTTATATTTTTTTAATTTCTTTTTTATCATGTCTTTTTT